GGCTACGCCCAGACATGGTTCATCGCGCCCCCGCCCCCCGGGGCCGTCGAGGTCCTCCCCTGCGACCGCTTTGTCGTGGCGACGCCGGTGAACCTGGGCTTCTTCGCCCTTGCGGCCCTCGTGGGGAACCCCCTCGCGCGAGAGCGGTTCCTCCCCCCGGGGGAGCTTTACCGCCCCCAGGCGAGCCCCCACCGCGGGGGAGGGCCCGCGCTCGATGCAGGCGGGGGCTTCGAGGGCGGGTGGTGGACGGCGGGGGCATCACCGCTGCTGGCGGTCTATTGGGCGGCGCTCTGCTCGGAGGCTGTCCTTCTGCCTTTCTGCGAGGTCAAGGTGAGCGCCAACGCCGCGTACTACAGGTTTTCTCCGGATAAAGCGGCAGCATGGGTGGCCGAGCGGGTGCGGCGGGTTCATGAGAGCGCTGCTTTGGCGAATATCCTCCAAATTCACACCGCGGATCATTCTCCGGTAGAACCAAAGTGTGCTCAATCGGATGCTCTCGGTCCACACAATCAGGGTGCAATGCACAGCAGCGCAGAGAGCAGCCATAATGATGGCGTGAATACGGCGCAGCGCGTACCCTTAGAGATTGCCTTTAGCGTCGTTGCTGAATACATACCAGAGGCCTTTCACGAGGAAGCAGCCCGTGCGGTGGGCATCGTCGTTTCCGCAATAGGGAATTCCAATTCGCCTGCAAAGGGTTTTGAAGCGCATTCCGCTTCCTCTTCGCCATCTTCAAAGAAGACTTCCAAGTCGGCGCGTGGTCCGGTGAGTGCCAGCGTGAGGAAACTGGAGAAAGCGGGGCGGCCAAAAGGCACTCCTACCCTATTTTCGATTTTAGGAAAGAAGTAGATGCATGGTATATTATTGTACCACGCTTTCCTCTTGCTTATCATTTCCTTTGTGTTTCTTTATTATTGATATTACCATTTATTCCACCCCGTACATTGGGCTGCATTTAACCCCCTTTTCTTTAGTCATCTTGACATGAAGAAGAAACGGATAGTGGGGTGCGAGATGATGTGCGAATATGAGTTTGGATTTGGAGGGAGAGTTTATATGCTCTTCCTTAGTAAAAAGATACATGATGGTACTGCCCTATCGTTTTCTTGTTTGATAGGGTTTACTAGTCGAAATCATTAATTTTTATACTGACTTAAGCAAACAATCTAGAATTTATAAAAATTATTTACCCATAACTCTATGACATTACACTTGACGCTGTCACTTTGTGGCATCGTGAGTGTTACATCATGACACTATTTACAGATATTTTGTTTCTTTTTTATTGTTATTTCTATTAGATTGCTTTCGTTTGTTTAGACAGACATTGCCTGAGGAATCGATATTGCAGGAAGAGGAGAAAATAGGTACTGTAGCGAATAATCAAAATATTATCGGCCGTTTTCTCTACTTGAGAATAGGTAATATTACTGATATAGATTGATTAGTTAATTTATCACTAGTAGGAGCGATAGCATTATTTTTTTTTTTTACAGTATTAAGTTGTGTTTTTTATCAAGGGGGGCCACGAGGTGTCAAAGATCTTTTTCTGTGGTAGCACAGTTGGGAATACCTATAGTTATATATATATATATATTGTGCGCGGTATAGGGGTATGATATTAACATTAATAATCAAAAACAAAGAATAACTAAACTAAAAGCTTTGACTATTACTCTAAGATATGTTTCGATTTAATTCGAAAAACTTATTCCGAAAATCGCCTGTTCTTCGAGTTTGGGCTTTGGAAGACGATGACCCCAACGCGCCTCCGACGACCTTTAAGAACGTGAAGCCCGGGCGTTTGCTGCGGCTGTGGCGGCAGATACGTCACCGTGCCTGGGTAATGTTTGTCTGGGATGAGGAATTGACCTCTTCGAACACGGAGGGGTACCTGCACCAACAGCGTCTGGAGCAGATTTGCTTTTCACCACTTTCCGCGTATGGCATGGTCCCGGGTAGTTATTGCGATCCTCTCCTCTACAACACCAAGAATACGTCGCCATTTCGCTGGCATATGGCGAACGTCTCCAGCGACGTGGTCGGGCACTGGTACATGGAGGCTGATGAGATCTTTCGCATCAAGGACTGGAAGCCGAAGAACCCGGACGACCCCTTCGAGATGTTCCCGAGGCCGCCGCAGCAGCGCCTGGATTGGGATGAGACCGTCGATGAGCACGGCAATCGGACCTTCCGTTATAAGTATAACTACGACATCTGGGGGCCAACCGGGAAGTGGGAGTGCTACCCTCGCTACCCTTTTGCCCACCTCCACGCGAGCAGCCAGGACCACCACGGCCGGGCGGAGGGCTACGGCTTCAAACAGGGCCACCTGCTCCGCTGTAATGAGGAGGAGGAGGAGGTCCTGCGCCGCATCATGGAGGAGGAGGACCGGGAGTGGGAGATGGTGAAGCGGACGGAGGTGGTGCAGGAGCCATGGTCGTACCCGGGCAAGATTCGCCCTCAAGACTTCCTCGGCGCGGTCGAGCGCGCGAAGGCTCGCTTCCGCGAACAAATCAAGCAGGGAAAAGAGACGGACCCGAGCGAGGACCCCGACTACGACCTTGTGCAATCTGGCGAGTTTGTCGAACCGCGGGAAGGCCCGCGGGCTGAGTGGCGCCACTTGTGGACCTCCAACCAAGGCGCGAACGGTAATCAATCTTACCAGGTCACCTTCAATGACGGGTTCCGTTTTGAAGACAACGAGGGATGCCCCCCGTCGCACCCGGCGAGTCACTACGAGGAAACCCCTAAAGATCCAAGCTATAATATTTACTTGGAGCAGGACGAGCGCGAGGCACGCACCGCCGCCGAGGAGCAACGCGCCGCCCACGAGAAGTCGTTCCAGGAGGCGATGGAGCGGCATCGCAAGCTGTTCGGCGATACGTTCGGGCCCCCGACGGGGCCGACACCGGGGCTTCCCACAGGTTGCGCCCCCATGAAGGACGCCCCGTCAACGACGCCGGATGCGGCAAGTCCTACCAGCGAAGCTTCCGACAAGCCCACCCCTGGCGGGGATAAAAAGCCGTAGGAGAAAGGATTTCAAAGATCTAGGGATCAGCGTTGCTAAGGCTCTTTTTCCTTCATAAAGGAGTGTACCAGAACGTTAGTGATGAACTCAAGTCAACATAATGTAACTTTGTTCAAGAAACAAATGTGGAAGATCAAAGATAATGCACAAGAGAAAGAAGTGGGCATAAGGTAGTTTGCATCCCATTCGATAGACTTCGCTGTCTTGGGCGTTATATTTGTCAAATTGATCAAGTGAAGAAAGATTTGCCGTTTCCAGCATATAATCTAGTGCTTTTAATCGATTCACTTGAATTTTATTTGCATAATTGTATCCAAGCTATTCGTATTCCCATACTAGGCGCAATAGTAGTATATTTTTACGATACTCTAATAAATTCAGAATGTCCCTCTTTTCTTCATTTAGGTCCCACCCTTGTGTATAGGAAGTTCTGGTGGTAGTATTGCGTTTACATTACATGAGGCAAATGCGGAATTAGCACCATTTCAGCCGTATTTTATTGTCCTTTGAAGGTAGCGTATGATCTGAGTAGAAAACTTTTTTTTTCAATGGGGTTTCTTTTGCACTATTTTTTGAAATATTCTATCTGAATCCTTTAGGTCTTACAACTTTTTTTCTTTTCGTTTTTTGTTCTATAATTTCTGCAAATTTCTTCATGTTTCATGCGTGTGGTCTCATAAAGGTGTATCAAAACAAGCTCCTTTTATAATTAATAAATTAAAATATAGACTCTTATAAACTGGAGTGCATCGACGTACGACGAATAGGGCAAGCTGAAACACGTGATTTTGTTTTCAAGCCTCATTTTAGACACGACGACATCTTTTTCAGTGTGACAAAGTTGTGCACAAAAAAGTAACAAGAAGTGTCATACCTAAAATTCTCCACACTTCTATATATATTCACCAGCGGAATAAAACATCAAGGTTTTACAGAAATAACTATTTGTGGTTCTCTCCAATTTTATCGCAGACAGGAAACATCTTGAGCACATACCAACGGCAATATCTCAATTCATTGCTTTTGAAGATTTTTATTTGCACATTTTTGTGTAGTTATCAACGTTTCCACGCTTTATACCAACCAACCACCGGCTTTTTTTTTTTAATTCTATAAGCAATAGTGGAGAGCAACGTTTTTTCCCGTAGTAAAACATTTTACTTTATCTTCCGAGTTTGTTTGTTTTCTTACGCAATGGAGTACAATGCAGGCATGAATCGGGATCCGAATAATGGTAGAATTCCGCATACAGCCTTCGACACTACGTTGCCCGCCGGTCATGAACCCGTCGAGTCTTTTAGCAGGCGCGCTAAGGAAAGGGGGGGGCGGTGCGGAAAGGCCTCCGAGTCCCGGGAGGCCAACGGCCGCGTGGGTGCGAGCCCTGGGGCCCTGCTAGACCGCCTGGAGCTGGACGCCGACGAGTACACCTACGAGGCGCTCTGTACGGCCGGGGTGGCCGACGTGGTTGCCGTCAACGCGGAGGAAGGGGGGAGGTCTGGGGGGGGGGCCTGGGGCTGCCATGAGGCGTCCGAGAACGCGACCGGTGCCGCGGCGCATCGACGGCGCACCCGGCTCCAGCTGCGCACCTTGGAGCAGCAGGCCCGGCGGTGCGGCCTGCACGGCGTCCCTGGCATCCTCAAGCCTCATAAGGAAGGCCCACCCCCTACCGACGCGGAGGGCAAGCTGGAGGCGAAGAAATCGGAAGCTTGGCA